GGAGAAACGTACGGTAATAACATTGTCGATGGTGGTTTGAAACTGCTCGATAAATATTTGAGCATTCTTGGTACATTTGTCTAATGATGAATAACCATTGTTACTTATGATTCTTGTAGTTGCTTGACTACTCACGTAACATTGAGTTGGATTCTTGCCTTTTACTTTTGCATCGTGGACGAATGTCTGAATTAATATTATAATTATTATTTATTTATTTTTTTCTTTTTATTATTATTATTTTTTTTTTTTTTTTTTTTTTTTTTATATTTTGTATACCATCATAATATAACATTTTAATAATATGTAATATGACTGACGTATACAGAATATGAAATATAATATAATAGATAGGTTTATATAGAGTAATATAATAATATTAAATCGTATAATAATGTAATATATTAAATAATAATATTTATTTATTTTTATTAATTATTATAATTATCAATTAGACATAAATTTTACTTACACGAATTTCTTCTAACAAAAGATCCGTCATACAACGAATATTTTTTACATCCTGTTCCTGTCGTGCTTTTATTTTATTATTGAAAATAAATTGAATGTTACTTCTATATCTATTAATATCCTTAATGGTATCCTCGATTTTTATTTTCGATTCATTGATCCATTTTTCGGTAATCTTTAAATCTTCCTTGACATTCACTTTCACACCGATTACCTATTTTTTTTATTTATTTATTTATTTATCTATTTATTCATTTATTTTACGTTCTTTTTACTTTTATAATTTATAACGAAATACATTTTGTTGAACATATTTAAAAAATTTTTACTCGATCACTTACCTGATTCAAAGACAATGCTGCAACCAATAAAAAACTGATGATCTTCATTATGACTTAATAGGATTGACAAGTTGCGCGTTAAAGAAAACGATCGTTTTGACTTGAAAAAAAAAAAAAACTGATTCTTTATTAATCTGTCTTACTAACTTTCGGTTCAGTTTATAAACCCATTTGTGCTTCCTTAACAGATGAAAATTTGTCAGATATTTGAAGATAAAAAAACGGATAAGGTGCCGCCATGGTAACTAAGTAATTTTTCTTTTAACTTGCATCGTTTTCTGTTGTTCGATTTTTATCAAATAATGGCATTTCTTGATTTTATTTCATTTGATAGTAAAACTTCGAGGATATTAGGAAACAGAATGTACTTGTTATCTCTTAGTTTTCGTCGTATCTTATCGGTTTGAATTACACGTTGACGTAAAAAAGGAAAAGAAAAAAAAAATAAAAGAAACAAAAAGGAAAAGAAATGGAGTTCATACATACCTCTTTTTTTCTTTTCTAAATAAATCTAACTTTATAAGACAATGTCTTAATATTTAACACTTTGATGATTAATTCATTGATACATATATTTCATACAAGCATGTACGTACGGTTGTCTATACTCAGGGGCATAATACCTACAAAATTATTTTTTTTCAATCTTTGCCGATATAAATGACGACTTTTAAATACAACATATACATATGAAATATGTGTGTGTATGTGCCTGTAAATGAAATATATATGTATATATATATATGTATATATAAACAAATTATTTATTAATGTACAATATACTCGGGATAAAATTAACATTAGCAATATACGTATATGTTTCATACACGTGTGTATCTAAGGCCGCGGATTGCCTATAGTCAGGGGCATATCATCTACGAAATTAATTCTTGCATATACAAATGATGACTTTAAATACAATATATATGTATGTGTATGTGTGTTTATGTTACGTATACGTACATGTGAATAAAATTTGTATGTGTATATATGTATATATATATATATATATACACAAATTATTTATTAATGTATATGTTAAGGATAAAATTATCATTAGCAAGAAATATTTTGACTTATTTGGGTCACCCAATATTTAACTAGATATATGTATTTTAAATAATTTACATAATGACAAATAACGAGACACAATAATTCATGTAACGATTTGAATTACGTCTTTGTCGATATATCGCATTGATCGGAAAATAATTTTATTCGCAAACATCACGTCTATATAAATGGGATGTTTAATATGTGCGAGAGAAGACGGGTGACTTTGTACAGAGAGTTAGTTAATTAATTTAGTTTAACGCATCGATTTCTTTTCTTATTTTTGTTTCTGTTTTTTTTTTTTTGTTTTTTTAATCGATGCCAAACGATCAAGAAAAGGAAAAAGGTGGAACATAGGAGGGGTTGAGGATAGGGGTGGTGGGTGGGGTGGGGGGGTAGATCAACGCACATATGTGAAAAAAGGAAATGCTAAGGAAATATACAATTTTTCTTTTTTTTTCTTTTTTTTTTTCTCTTCACGTTTCTGTATACGTATATATATATATATATATATATATATATATATATATATATATATATACATATATGTATATATATATATATGTATACTCAATTACTCAATACGAACGATGTAAATAGATAAAAGCAAAAAACGAAAAATTGAAAAAAAAAAAAGAAAAGAAAAGAAAAAAAGAAATGGCTCGAGAAGAAGAGAGAAAAGGATTATATAGTTGAGAAGAAAATGATAATAAAATAGGATAACAATAGAGAAGGAGAGAGAGAGAGGAAAAGTGAGATTAAAACTTTTACATATTTGAGTACATGAGACCAATATATATATATATATATATATATATATATATATATATATATATATATATATATATATTATATATATATATATGTATATAGACTTAAACATAGGCGAATACTCTCGATACTGGCAGTAATAGTTCGCGCGGTTATCTAATGTTATATATAGAAAAACGAGAAAAAAAAAAAATGAAAAAAAAAATGAAAAAAAAAAAAATACTTATAAAAGATAAAAATCGTTAATAACAACATGATATTAAAACATGTTCCTCGAGATAATTGAGATAATGCTTTTAGCTTTTTGAAAAATATGATGAAATTTTATGATCATTAAAATACATATACATATATATATATGTGTGTGTGTGTGTGTGTGTGTTGCTGTGTGCGTGTGTATATGTAAAATATTCATATATTAATTAAACAGAAATTGAGATTGGCAATGCTTATCGTTAATAAATTGTTACTACATGGCGCTTGTGTGTCACGTTCTTTTCTGTCTCTTTTCTTTTTTTTTTCTTTTCTACTTTTTCTTTCTTTTCTTTTTTTTTCTTTTTTCTTTTTTTAATTGCACAATATATAATATTGTTCCATCGTAGAAAATACATCAGAGAAATAATGCACATACACATATCGTTTATCGCATTACGTCTATATATATATATATATATACTATATAGTATTATATAGACATATTTAACTAATAATCATCTACCGCAGAAAATATAATTAACTATGGCAGTCTGTCGAAACAATCGTAAAAATCTTATTTACGCTTAACGATTTGTACTCTACGATTGTTTTGGTACCGGGTGCCAAAATTAGGGCCATTAACGTTAATTAATTCTACTGTTATATATTTTTCTTGTTTTTCTTTTTCTTTTTTTTTTCTTCTTTTTCCTTTTTTTTCCTTTTTCTCTCTATCCTTATATAAAACGATAATACAATCGTAAGAGATGAGAAAAAGACGAAAAAGACATAGAGAAAGATATAGAGAGAAAGAGAGAGAGGGAAAGAGAGAAAGAGAAAGAGAAAGAGAGAGAAAGAGAGAAAGAGAGAAAGAGAGAGAGAGAAAGAGAGAGAGAGAAAAATTAATAATAATAAAGAACTACGCAAGGCTACTTCATCCTTTTGTTTTCTTTTTCTTTTCTTATCAAAACACGAATTCATCATAATTTTTAAGCCTTCGCAGTTTTCGGACTATTATTACTATTATTATTATTATTATTATTGTTGTTGTTATTTATTATTATTAATTATTATTATTATTATTATTATTATTATTATTATTATTATTATTATTATTATTATTACTATTATTAATATTATTATTATTATTATTATTAATATTATTATTATATATTTATATATACTGATCGGCTGTGTGTCGAGAATTGTTAATTTGTTAACGCTAAGAAGCTTAACATTCATTTGTGTTTTATTATTTTTCGGTTAAAGCGTACTCGTCAATAACTTCGTCTCTCATTAAGCTTCTACTAATTGTTTCACATTATGTATACATATATATATATATATATATATATATATATATATATATTTATATGTGTACAATAAATCGTTATTGTTATAATAACAATAAAATAGAAATAAAAATACTACGTCGTTATAAATCTTTTGTATTTCGTTTTAACGACTGATATGACTAAACGACATATTTACACACGTCGTTCTAACTGTTATTTCCACTTTTTTCTTTTTTCTTTTTTTTTCTCATTTTTTCTTGTTTTTTACTTTTCCTTTTCCTTCCATTTATCGTTCAATCATTTTACGATCGACGTCGTTTTCCTTTTTCTTTTTTTTTTTTTTTCATTTCCTTCATTTCTTTCTTTTTCCCTTTTACACAATTCTTCTTCACTTAAGGATTAATTTCAATAATTGATTTCCTTTTTATTCTCTTTTTCTTTCTATTTTCAATTATAGTGTCTGTATGGCAGTGAGTCAAAGGCAATTAATGTTAAGTCAGTTTATAATACAGGTGGATTTAAAGGAGGTCGAAAAGTTATTATCACGTGATTTTTCTGTTTTTTTTTTTTTTTTTTTCTTTTTTTTAAATCAATTACACCTTATCTTTTAATTACATGTACTTGTAATTAGACGTTGCAATTGTCGATAAGTTTGTCGAGTTGTAGTTTTGTTGTTCGAGAAACAAGAAACAAAAAAAAGAAAAAAAAAATAAAAGGGTCAATTCAAAGTTTGATCTTAGGAAAAATTAATTTTAATTTCAAAATGTAATTGATTTTTCATGGAATCATTTTAAAAACAAATTTTGGTCCACCTCATATATATATATATATATATATATATATATATATATATATCTATATGTATTTATTTATTTGTTTGTTTGTTTGTTTATTTATTTTTTCTTCTTCCTTTTCTTTGCGTACGAGAAAGAGAGAGAGAAAGAGAGAGAGAGAGAGAGAGAGAGAGAGCATACGGACAATTCGTTTTTCAAAAGGAACGATTTAAAATGTGAGGCAGTGACGATTGATTGTTATTAAGACCCTCAATCTATTTATATATACCGATGAACATGATTTTAATGATCCCTTAGTCATGATGATGACGCATATGTGTACTTGTTGTTTACGTCGTTATCCATTTTCTTTTTCTTTTCTTTTTCTTCAGTTCTTTGGCAAAGTGATAGATAACTAAAAATGGCGATGCTTCGAAAAAAGCGCGCTTCTATACTTTTATATATATACACATATATATATATATATATATATATATATATATATTTATATATATATATATTAGATTTGTTTTATTTTCTTTTGTGACGTAAGTCTCCTCAATTATTCTTCTTTCACCCTTTTGTTTTGCTGGATTTTCATCAAAATGCGTGTTAGCCAATGAAAAAGGATAAAAGAAAAATAAAATAAAAATTATATATATAAAAAAAAAAAAAAAAGAAATAAAAAATAGGGCGATAAGAAGAAATAATCATTCTCAGGCAACTCTCGGTCAAATGATATGCCCAATTATTCTTTTTCAGAGGCACTTCTCCATTTTGGAAGACTTTTTGAAATCTCTCCAGTTTTTCCTTGAAACTGTAAAAGATATATACATGTACATACATATATATATATATATAGGTACATCTGTTATTTATATGTATGCGTTTAATAAAATTATTTAATATTTAATTTCTAATTCAAATTTTATTTATTATTATATATTATATATTGTATAATAATAAATATATATAAAAAATATTAAATATATTTATTAAATTTATTAATATGTATATATATATATATATATATATATATTAATAAATTTAATTAATGTAATATATAATCTAATATATTAATAAAAATAATTTATTAATATATAATAAATTATTTTATTTTATTTTATTTTTTTTTTTGAGTATGTTTTTGACATTGATATATATATATATATATATATATATATATATATATATATATATATATATATAAAATTAAAATACAAACCTGTATCAAGTAATCAAACCAAGTGTTTTACTAGCTAAGGAGGTAAAACGTCTAATTTCAAGCCCGTCTTCGGTACACAAAATCCACAATAACCACCGCATTTACCAACAACTTGTTGATCATTCTGAAACAATTAATTTCATTTGATTTTCTTTACATTTGGATTGTAAACAAAAAAAGAAACAAAAAAAAAACAAAAAAAAAATAATGACATTTATATTTTTATTCTTAACTTTTTTTTTTCTTTCAAATCCTTACAAAAAATAAGAAGATATGAAAAGAAGATAAGAAAATATGAATAGAGAGGAAAAAAAAAAAAAAAGAAATTTACAATTTTACTCCCTAACATCCTTTCTAACACTTGAAAAAAATATAATGATATTTATGAATGAAGAATTATATTATCATCCCTAAATTATACTTACTATTCTATTGATCGAGTAAAACGTTCTAGACGTTGACATAGTCCATGTAACTTCTTTAGACAAACTCAAGTGTGTGCCACTTAAGTTAATGCTGAAACGACCTTGCGGACAATTTTGAGTACTATAGCAATCTCCAGCTTTACCAAATTCTACACGATGCAATCCTTTTGTTTGAGAGAACGTATAATCGTCAGCTATAAATTGATTTAACAAAAAAAAATATATATATATATATATGTATATATATAATTCTTTCTTTCTCTCTCTCTCTCTCTCACTCTCTCTCGCATTTAATATTAATTAAAAATTAGTTTACCTATAATATATAATTTGATAGGATCCAAACGTACTCTTTTGAACATTGTTATACCCGATATTGTTCCATCATTGGCGAAACATTTACAGCTGTCGTTTCTTTCTCCATTGAAAGGACACGTATCTGGATCTTTTAGCCTATATTTTTTTTTTTTTTTTTTTTGAAAAAATTAAACAAATCTTTAGTTAGCATTATCTCCCTTAAAAAGTCTCCTACTTTGATTTTAACAATTTGTTATGAAGAAAGTGTGTTAAAGAACTTCCTAGGAGATTTTAAAAATCAATTACTTATTTTTATTTTTTAAAATTAATTTATTTAGATTGATTTTCTTTTCATTTAAAATTAAACATTTCTTTAAGCTATTCCTTTTTTTCTTTTCTTTCTTTTTTTTTTTTTTTTTTTTTTTTTCTTACAATTTAAACAATTTAACAACATGAAATAATAAAAATGATCAAAGAAAAATAATTGATTTATAAAATCATTAAAAAATTTTTTTAAATACATGTATAAATATATATTTGTTTATAATACCTCTTATCATATATTTCAGCATAATTTTCTTGATCCCCAGCCGTTAATGTTAAATATTCTCGTGGCTTGAAAGTCGACATTTCGTGACAATAAATCGACATTGTTTT